CATAAAAGCAGCCGTGGACAATACCTAGGCATGGCCATACTTAGCTCGCAGGCCATACCTTGCCAATCCCTGGTCAAGATGACAGGGAAGGACAGAGGAAAGTCTTCTAAGTGAGCAGAACAACATGAGCAAAGGCCTAGCCTCGAACTGACGTAGGAATCCCTGACACACCTATAGACAAAGAGTAGGTAGTTCAAGCTCAGAAGACAACATCTATCATCGGGAAAAGACTGAATTAAAATGTTGGTGGGCAGCTGGACCTGGGGTTGGGAGTTAGCCGAATGCCAAGCCCAGGGCACCACTTTTTAGGCCAGAGCCAACTCTGACAGGCATCACCTATTCCTGGGTCTGGGCAAGGAGGTGAGCAAGAAGAATGAGTGCGAGTGTGTGGCTAAGGAGAATCACGTTCCTCCAGGAGAGTTGTCAGATAGAAGCAAAACAAAGCAAAACATCCGCTAGGCCCTTGTTACTGTGAAAAGACAGGAGTCCTGGACTGAGCTCAGATCTTCCTGCCTCGCCGGGACGTGCCGTAATCGGCACATACATGTGCCTCTGTCCAAAGCATTCCGCACGGAGGAGGCGATTGATTATCTATCAAATGGACAAGTTCATCCCCTCTATGCTCTCAGAACAATGCTTAATTTGTCTGCCATTAGCAAATGACTCCTTGCTATAAATCTGGCCATCATATCTAGTATCTATCCATCCATCCATCCATCCACTCATCCAGCAACTCACTGTTGTGGTTGCAGGTTCTAGTTCCATACCCGAAGGGTCAGTGCCGAGGCCAGAATCCCAGAAAAAGAAACCAGAAGCACAGTTGCGGAGGGGGTGAGCCCAGCCTAAAATTTTCACTAAGTCTGCAGAAAGACACCGTTGGAGCTTTCCCACGGGGAGCAGTGACTGCCTTTGGGGACCCTAACTGGATCCAGCAGGGACTGCACATATAGGGGCTTCCTGTTCAAAGAGAGACTGCGGGCCTTGCTGGGTCATGGTGCCCAGGACTCCTTCTGCCCTCCGTCCACCACAGGAGGCCACCAGACTCACCTTCAACCCTGCGTGCAGGCTGCTGTGGATGCTGTAAATGTCATAGACATGCTGTCCGTGACCTTTCCTTCTAGGCAAAGGGACTAGTCTACCGGCAACTTTGTAGCAGGCCCAACTTTGCAGATAAAATTGTTCTTCAAAATCAAAGAACCCTGCAGATAAAATTGTTCTTCAAAATCAAACTAAACCATGTTTAGTTTCCTTAATATGTGTTTGAGTAGAGCGTGTGCGTGCGTGCGTGTGTGTGTTAGGGAGAAAAGGCATATATATTGTAGTCTGGTTCATACTTATTACAAACAGAGGACTCTACCTGGAGTCACTGGACAGAGGTATAAGAGGGTTTATAAACCTCCAGCTGTTTTATAACAAATTGGAAAGACAGGCTGCAGAGCCTTCACCAGATTCTCAAGGGGGAACTGAGACCTCAGGGAGGGCAGGAATCCTGGCCCCAGAAGGACTTAGCTAGTGACTGGGGGGAACCCAACCCCCCTAGCCATCTTCTTGATCTCATTTCACGACGCCCCAGGCCTTGGCTGTCGCCAGGATGTCCTGGCTTGCTGCCGGGGAAGGCAGGCTCTTGTCTGAGTGAGTTCTGCCACCTACAGCACACAGCCCAGCAAAGCCACAGCAGAGCTGAAGTCTTTCTGGTTTGCATAGGTGATGAGGGGAAGGGCTGCCTCTCCAGCCTGGAACCCTCCACTGGAAGAAAAATGGCTTTGGGGATTCCTAATTAGTATTCAGAGATGTAAATTCCTTTGGGCTGGAAAGCTATTTTTACATTAAAGGAGAAAGGATAAATCCTGAGGATTAGCACCTGAAGGAAGTGTTGCCCGAAATGCAGAGAGGAAAGGCACTGGGAAAAAGGAAGATAATGAGTTCACAGGTTCTCACACTAAATGCAACTCTCCCATTTCTTAGCGTGTTCAGTGCCGTAGCCTTTTCTAGATGTGCACGAGTTGTCTTTGCCACCTGCCTTGTTATGTAATGAGAATATTTGCTTCAGAAAGGTGGGGTTTTCTGAGATGCTTGAAGTGTAAACACAGATCAGTTTGCTTCCTGTATTTAAGTCATTTTTAAGGAGGCCGAACACTGTCTGAGGGCATAGATTGTGTCTGTCTTATCATTATGGCCCCAGCACCTAAGCAGAATGCCTGACACTTAGGTGAAAGCTCAATAAATGCTTCTGATTTAAAGTAATAGAAATGTGGTTTGCTTTGCAATCAGAGCTGTGCTTGGTCATATACAATCGTGAAGTCTACTCTTCGTTGAACTCTCAAATATTCTCACAGCAACAGACAAGACGGATACTGTTTTACAGGTGAAACCGACACCAGCTTTATTAAGAGGCTCACCCAAAGTCACCAGTGACACAGTCAACATCCATACCTGGACCTCTTAGCGTCTAAGTCCATGCTTATTCCACTCCGTCCATGCAATTTATATCCTTGTGATATATATCCATTTATATCGCATTTCTCAAGCATGGGAAATAGACCAAAAGGAAATGATTTGAAAACCTTGTAAACTTTTTTTTCTTTTTAATTTAAAAGAAATATATGTTTTCCCAGTCCTCAGAGTTTCTCTGAAAGTGTTTCTTATTCTCCTGGCTTAAGAATAGATACAAACATAGATTCTAACCCTGTCTGAATCTAGCAGTGGTTTTTCTTTGATGGAGAATCCATTCGTAGCTCAGTTCGTAGAGATGATTGCGGAATCCTCCACTCCGTTTGGCCCAGTGAGCACCAGTGGCAGAGGAAGATTGAAGGTTGTCAATAGCTTGTATGTACTTGGATTTCCAGCCAGGGATTCTTAATAGAGAAATACACACACAGAGTCTTCACAGTTTTGGAATACGGAGTTAGTTACACAGTAATCCACCTCCTTTCACAGGTTTTTCCTCATTAACAATTTAGGTTTCGAAAAGGAGTCCAAGGTAAGCGAGGACGTAGCCAAGATTGAAGACGCAGCATAATGAATCCAGAGCGCGTGACCTCACAGCCTGACCCGCTGGGGTTGTTGGGTGGCTTGGTCACTTCTGCTCACGCTGCACTTGTGTCATCTGGCCTGGAAGTCTTGCGATCTTCTTCCGGAGAAACTGCAAATGGAAGGAGATTGCAGCTGGCCCTTAAATGGGGTTAGTAGTTTAGATCATCGACAGGTAAAAGGGGCGGAGGGATTTTTCTAGGTGAAGGTCATATTGATCATTATGTGTGGACTTGAGAGGTGAAGAGTGGCACTGGATAGAGGGGTCGGGTGAGAAGAGGGTGAAGTTCAAGTTGAAAACCATGGGGTTTGTGCATGTCTTGCTGTCTGTATTTATCTCTCTAAAGCCCAGTGTGTGCAGGACAGTGGATCTCAACCTTTGGTAGTATTTATCCGAATTAGCTGGGAGTATGCTTTTTAAAAATGCCAGTCAGGGCCACACCTCCAGGCCCAGTGAAACAGAAGGAGGCAGCGCCTGGAAGTCTGCATTTTAAGAATTAGCTCGTTTGGTTCTGATGGAAGTGCTCCTTAGAGCATATTTTGAGGAATATTGGCGTAGAAGAATCCTCCAGTCTTTCTAAGAATCACTCCTTAAATGCATCCATTCATTTGAGCCAAACCTAGGAACACAGAGATAAAAGGCACAATTTCAGCATTCACAGAGTTCAAGGTCCAGTGGAAAAGAGACTTGGAAACAGAAGGTTACGATGCATGAATGGGCGAGTTCACAGAGCAGAAATGCCTGGGTGCTATGGGAGAACTGTAGAGAGGCGCCCAACTCAGCCTGCACGGGGAGAGGTGCACAACTCAGGGAGAAAGGTGTAACAGAAGAAATAACTCTGTCTTCAAGGATGGTGGATGTTAGCCAGGAAATAGGGAAGAATTCCAGGTAGAAGGGACCCAGTGGACAAAAAGCAATCTGGCCTCTAGAGAAGTACTCGAGAATGGAATAGTGGAAGGGAAGGGGGTAGAGACGGGCCGATGAAGGTGGAGATTGCACATCTGCCTTTCATAATAAAATGACGTCCATCCACATGAGAAGGTGCTTTGCCAATATTTATATCCCTGCCAGCACAGCAGCAGTGGATGCCTCCTTCCGAGCTGTGGTCTTCGTCCTCTTAGATACTCCCGAAGCAGCAATATTTTGATAAGCCTCCAACTGAGAAGGAATTCAGAAAAGTCCAAGGCAATCCTAAATGGATTTACCTTCTTGTTTCTTTCATTCATCTTTGTCATCACATGTCTTGGACCAAAGTAAAGCTGGAAAACCTATAACCAAAAAGGGAGAGAAGACCGTGTGCGAAACCACGGGACCGTGTGCAGAACCACGGGAAAAGTTCGCCACCCTGAAAGAATGTTGGCATATGTTATTGACATTATCATCGTGTAGAGAACACGAATGAGCACGTAAAGAAAAATAAAATGGTGTTCATCGTGGGCCTTTGTAAGAATTAGGGTCGAAAAGTGCCTGTAGTCGCCACTTTGCTCTCCAAAGTTGGAAAGATGGCTTTCACCGCCACATAATCTGCATAAACCAGCATCGTAACTCACAGTGCGTGGTGACGCAAACAGCCACAGTAGCAGAAACCAGAGTGGAAATCAGAGCACGCCGTGCTCCATGGCAGAGAGCTTCGTTCTTTAACCAGAGAGAATCATTTGGTTTCAGAACAGAGCTACGTGTATCCACCCGACAGTCTGTACAGTGTGTGTGTGTGTGTGTGTGTGTGTGTGTGTGTGTGCATGCGCACAAATCTCATTCGGCTGCAATATATTATAAATGATAGTAAATTAAGTAAGCATTATCAAATGTTGGCCATATTTCTTTTCCAAACTTATATAGAGAAAATCAAATCCAGGGGAAAAAAAGAAAAGTACCCTTAGGCTTCCTAATTGATTCCAGCTGTTAACATTATTTATTGCAAATAATACGATCCAGTAGTGAAACACCCACGTCTTTGAACTCCTTGCAGTTGTGTGTGATATTGGAGCCAATGCAGGAACTGATGTCGAGACATAAAACTTACAACCTCAGTCCACGAGACTGCCTGAAGACCTGCTTGTTTCAGAAGTGGCAACGGATGGTGGCGCCGCCAGGTACGACCTTGTTCTTCACTCCCCCCCCCAAAAAAAAAATTCTGAAGCTTCTTTTGGGTATGAAATGATATGAAATGAAAGTGATCATAAATCCATCAGGAAAATGGTTTATTAGGGGTGTTCTGACCAGGGTTTTGGACTTAGAGACATTGAATTTGCAAAAGGCAAACATGCTTAGACGTCATGTGCCATTTCCTCACTTGCCAGATTAGGGCCCGAAACCCAGAGAAGTAAAGTGATTTATTTAACGTGACTAAGAAGATCAATGGCAAAGCTGCAGTCAGAATTAAGGTTTCTATTGCTCGGTTCAGTGGTCGTTCCATGGGACAAGACCACTGCCTTCTTGTGGCCGACTGTTATTTTTGTTTGCTTCTTTTTCTATGAAGTGATCAAAATTATGAAAAGGGAGGGAGGAAAAGAGGAAAGAAGGAAGGAAAGAGAAAAGGAGAAAAGAAAGGAAGGAGAGAGAAAAGGAAGGGAGGGAGGGAGGGAGGGAGGGAAGAAGAAAGGGCTATAATTTCAGAGACTGAAATTAGAGGGAAGGAAGGAAGGAAGGAGGGAAGGAAGGAAGGAAGGAAGGAAGGAAGGAAGGAAGGAAGGAAGGAAGGAAGATAATTTTTTCTATTTTTCTAGATGTGTAATACCAAAGGATACTCTGATCATGAGGAGAATACATAAGAGTCCACTCCCTCGCTTCCCCGAAATGCAGTGTAGATACTACAGTCTCCTGCTGGGGTTCTGAAGTTACTGCTTCGAGTCATCATTAATTGTCTTTCTATCTATTACATTTTCACTCCCGGGCGTGTGTTGAGCCTCATTGATCATAAAAGCAAAATGTATCTATTCGCTAAAAATTATTTTGATAAAGAGTAATTATTAACATGAGGCACATAACTTTCTGAAGCACAAAATATAATGGTCACCTTCCACTGGTAATTGGCCAGGGGTTTTATATAAAATGAATATAGCGATTTAACCAAGTGCATATTTAGAAAGCTGAGAATATGAGCATTATTTTACATAGAATGGTTGCATTGCCATCTTAGGGGAATTTTCGACATTTAGAAAATTATTTTTCAAATATATTACATGTGCTTAAGTTGGCTTCATTTTCTCTTTCAATATCAATAAGACTTTATGGAAAAAAATATTCCACCCACTTAATGCTTTGAGCATCTATATTTTCTGACATATGCATGGATAATTCACATATTATTCATGAATTCAGTCATTCATTCAACAGTTATTCACTGAGCCCGTACTAGGGATCAGGGACTGCTCCAGCCACCGGGCACAGAACACTGAATGAAAGTCACAGTCCCAGCCCTCACAGACCTTCCGTGCTCTTACTGAATCCTCACGATAACCTATAAACTACTTATGATTATTCCCATTGTATATAATGGGGTCTGGGGTTTAAGTCTGCCAGTCAGTCTCCTAACTAACCAATGGAGGAAACCTGTGTCTCACAGGATTTCTGTCTCCAACATTCATGACGCTTACCATAGCAACCTACTACCGATGGAAGTAATGCAGAGTAGGCAGTTTAGGTATATTTTCCCCAGATTTCCTGAAGAAAGTAGAGATAACAAAAAAAAAGTATCAGATTTCAATTCTCGAAGTCAAAGGAAGAAGATGCTTGTTAGGGGAAACCTGGGTATTTTCTTGACTTTAGAATGTGCTTCTCGAGTCTTCTCCAGCCCCCTGAGCTGGAACGATTCTATTCCTTTGTTTCCATAATCTTCAGAATAAGCAGCCATAACTCTCTATGGGTAGAGATGTTGGGACCTTTGATGAAAGTCTTTGAACATACTAGACAAAATGTTTGTGAAAGAAAGACATAATCCTCTCCTTCTTCATCAAAAGTCAAGAGATAACTTGAACTAAGTGGTCTTTGAAATGAGCCTTCAAAGAAGTCCTCCGCATTTTCCATCAGAAGCAGAAGAGGTGTTTAAAGAAAACCCTACGAGGCCCTCTCACTTAGTCCGTTGTGGCCCTGGCTTACCTTCACTCCATCAGAGTTGGATCTAGAACAGGGTTAACAAAAAGGATGCTTTTATCTGCCATTTCCAATTTATTTAATAACTGCCTGGAAAAGGCTTCTCAAGATTTCTCATTATAGAACAAAGATTATAATATTACTTAAGAATAACTATAAAGTAGTTACCACAGAAAACATTAAAACGGAAAACATTAAGATACGAAAACCTTGAGTACTGCTCAATGCATAATAGGTAAATGATATTCCTCTTAACACACATTACCACATTTTCCCTATATTTCCATTAAGATGCTACCCATCCTTCAGGTGCAAAATATTTGTCTCTATTTCTAAACAGGCTTTTCTTGAAAAGGTCTAATTTTCCTTCATTAATATGCTGGCTGTAGCAGACTAAGTCATGTTTTACTCAGGAATTTTGAAGTTAGTAGCATTTTTTAACTATCGAGTTTCAAACCGTGGAACTCAGGAACCATACTAAGCTTGAGATTCCCTATGTTCCATATTCACGGGGCACAGAACTGGCACTTCCTCTTCCTTTTACCTGATCATTTCAAGGTATAATAGAGCTGAGCTGCAATGTGACACTTAGCCAGTAGCTGCCGCTGTTACCCACTGGTTTACTAATTTAACTAAGTTTATACTTTCTCTCACACCGTGGAGGCCCCCCAGGAATCCCAGAGTCCTCCTTCTGTCATAAAGAAAAGGTAAACCAGAGAAAAAAGTCCCCCCAAATTTTGTAATGCTAACAACCTTTTAACTTCAACTACGAGTGGTATTTGTAACTCACCCCTAAAAGTATATTAATAGATTATAGACATACGTATGGAATTAGAAAGAACAATGAAATACAAATCATTTTATCTAGACACAGAAGAAAAGAGTTGCACACATCCAGTGCTGAAAGCAAACCGATAGTTTTCTGTGGTAACTACTTTATAGTTATTCTTAAGTAAACCAATAGTTTTCTCCCTTTATTTTTCGTAAAGTTAAAAGAAATGGGGGGAAAAAAATGTAGTCTACTCTTTTTTTATCCGTCAAAACGGCTTCATTGGAGGAGGGTGGGTATCCGATGGTCGCCCCAGAACCGATCCTCCATCCATTTGTCATATTGCAGCAGAACCCACAAGGCAACCTACAACTAAGAGGAGAAAAAGGAAAAACTCCACGAGCAGCACCTCCAACAGCAGCGCGGGGACCAACGCGAACAGCACCGGAAGCAAGAAGAAGACCCCGGCCGCAAACCTGAGTCTGTCCAGTCAGGTACCTGTAAGTCTCACTTTCCTTTTAGGCCTGAAATCCTGCCTTTGCCTGACTTTTCATTGGGGGCGGTGGGGGGCGAAGGGAGGGTGTTAACGTCTCTTTTAGCTGCAAATACATTCTGGGGCAGGCCAGAGTGGGGGAGGGGAAGGCAGGGACGGGGTAGGGATGGGAGGGAGGAACTCTGCCATGGAAACCTTCCCCTGCCAACTGGGAATTAGAAAGGAATATTAAGAGTCTGTGTTGCAACGGGACCTGAATTAAAAAAGCCGTCAGAGTCACAGACAGGAGATATGTCACTTAGGGTTTAATTAAAATATCACTTAGCGGCGTGCCTGGTGGCATATAAAGGGCTCTCGGCACCATCGCCGGAGACCCTGTGCTCCCCTGGAAACCAGCTCCTGGCGCTCGGGCTCCTCAGTGTAATTGGACTGGGCCTTCCCGCCGTGGGCGCCCCCTCTTACGCCAGGACACTGGTAATTAACTCGCAGCCACTACAAGTGCAGCTCAGTGGGTCTCACTTTACCCGTTTCACTAGCTCTAGGGGGGTGGCCAGCCCCTGGTTTGGTCCCCACTCTACCAGCCTCTGGACCTCTTTCTTTTCTTTCCGGGTCATGACCAAGGAAATGAGCTCCATGGATGGGCGCTTCTTTGAACTCCCAAGCTGACAGCTGAGGGTGTCCCCAAAGAGTGTAAACTGCAGGAACTTCCTTCATCGCCTATTATTTCTTCCCTAATGCTGTCCCTTCTGCCTAATTCCCTCCTAATCCCTTAGCTCGGTCTGAGACCATTTATCACTTTAAAATGTTCATGTTCCTTTAAGCATTCGTTGTCCCTTCTCTCCCCCTGCCCCTCGATGGCGTGTGGGTCGTCCTCCTCTGCTGCCTTTACCATGTCACTCTCCAGCAGGCATGTGACTGTCGTCTGAATCCCGACACTTCCTTGGTGATTCATGGATATCCTCCAGATACCATGTCTTGGGAAATGTGCCCCGTTTCTTGTTACTCCCCACAACCAATGCAAGTTCACCTTTTCCCTCTTTCTCTCTTTTTTTCCCCCCTCTCGGTCTGTTGTCCTCACTCTTCGTGCTCTGATTCTGCTCGTCTCTCTCCGTGTGAGAGCGGGTCTTTCTTTCACGGGGAGTCTCCTCTTCCAAACGTGTCTTCCTAAGCTGTCCCTCATCCGTTCTTCCTCACTGTCCATTGGTCAGTTCTCTTTGGCTAAAACCAACCCATCGGTACCTGAGAATTACCTGAGCCACTGGGACTGTCCTGTTCTCCATAGACAGAGGGTGAGATTTTCATTCATTAGCAGGACAGGGTCACGGAGAGAGTGGCCAGCCTGCGGGGAAGGCACCATTTTATTGTTAAGATCGCTAGATATTAAGCGATGTCAGAGTCACCTCTGGTTTTTGAACTGGGCTATCACTCCTAAAGAGTCAGGGGAAAAAATATTAAAGGAGAAAAACAGAGTATTTTTATTAAGGTACCAATAAATTACACCCACTCCTAGCTAAATTGGGAAATGCATAGAGAAAATGGTCTGGTATACATAAATCAACCCCAAAAGTGCACACGAGTAGCCCATTTATTCATCTAATCCTGGAGTTTCAGCAACGACGTTTGTTAGATTCCTGTAACAAATGAGAGAAGTTCATTCCAGACAATTCTGGTACTGTGACAAAGGTATTGAAAGGCACAGTGGCTGCAAGAATTCAGATCAGTTCAATAAATGTTAGACACCGAGCTCCTACTATTTGCTCCACAGAATACCAGGCACTGGCATTATTAAGATTAAAAAAAAAAA